CTTTAACCAATTCTGTTTCCGAATCTAACTCTAATAAAACATTATATATTCTTTTTATATGAGCCGGACCTTGGTTTTTAATCTGAATAACCAATTGTCTATCTTCTAGTGTTATTCCCTCTTTCTTGTCTACAGTCCATCTATCCATTATTTGTAAATATTGAAACCATGACTGTAGAATATTTTGCTGCCTTAATACATCTAGGGATTTCAAATGCCAATTCGAACCAGAACAAATTAACAATTCTTTATATGAAATTTTATCAAAATTTGTCCCCTTAGAGGTTCCCTCAATTGCATGTCTGGGAATCCCCCAGATAGGTATTTTATAATTTAATCTATAATAATACTTCTTCCAAACACGAAGTAAGGCATTCCTCAAAATATGTGATTTAAAAGTCCGATCAACTTTCTTATTAAAAATTAAATATGCATGCCAACCGTATATTAAATCCCAACCTTCCAAAAAAAGAATATCCATATTTGTTAAATTAAGCCAATCACTTAACCAAGTTAGGGCGGCTGCATCATAATATAATTTCAAATTAGGTGCCTTAAGTCCCCCTCTTTCTCGAGCATCCTGTAATATCTTAAATTTAACCCTTGGTTTCTTCCCGGCCATATAAAATTATTGATACCCTTTTGCCATTCCTCCAAATTTGCCTCTTTTTAAAGAATAGGTATCATCTGAAACAAAAAAAGAAACTTTGGTAGAACATTCATTTTTACAGCTGAAATTCTCCCCAACAATGACAATTGCAATTTTTTCCAATCTCTTAAATCCTTTTGGACTTTTGCCCATAGTGGTTCGTAATTGTTCTTATACAATTTTCCATTTGAAGCAGTTAGATATACTCCCAAGTATTTAACCTTTTTTACCATCTGAAAACCTGTGGCTTTAATCAAACTTTCCCTTTCTTTAACTGACATATTCTTAGATAATATCTTAGTCTTATAATTATTAACTTTAAAACCAGAAACATTCCCATACTGTGTTATAAGTTCTAATAAACCATCAATCGCCTGATTCGGCTGTTCCAAAATTAAAACCAAATCATCCGCAAATGCCTGATCTGCCATCAACATGTTAAATTGTTCCTTAAGCATCTTTATAGATACCTTTAAATTATTATCAGTAGGGTTAAGAACCAACTCTTGTTCTTTTGATTTGATCTCTTCTTCTATTTCTCTACGTCTTTGTGACCCTTTTTCCCTAAAAACTTTATTCAATTGAATCAAAATTCCCCTCATATATGCTTTACTAGCGTCCCACACCATAGACATCGATGTTCCCTTATTCATATTTATAGTAAAAAAGTCCTTTAAATGTTCGTACAAATGTGATAAGGGAAGAATGGTATTTAAAATAGAAGAAACTTTGGTGGTTAAAGTTGTATTATCAAACGGTAGCCAAAATGCTTTCTGGTACTTTGAGATCAGTTGAATAAAAGAACAAGAGGCTTTGCTCAGAACAATGGATGTAATAATACAGTGCCATTCTTTTAGAATGCTATGGACAAGTTCTGTTTGTTAAGACATTTCAGCACACGCAAGAGCTCTTGAGATGATTTACACACTAAAATATACCAGACCTGTGTGGTGGCAGAACTTTGTGCCAACAAAAGAGACTGCAGCTTGCTTCAGGGAGACCCAATGGTGATATCTTTCACCTTGATAAGATGTTTTGTTCCTCTAGCACATCCATTAGCAACAGAGGCTTCAGAAGCAAACCAAAGCAAAGTGACATACTTTTGCTCTCTTTTTAGAAGCAGCGGCAACTGTATGGCTTTACAAAGCATCTTGGAAAGGTTACTGCACTCAAAGTGTCACAAAAGTAAAGGAATCCTTCCAGTTTTTGTGCAGCCCTGCAAAGTATGCCAGTACAAACAGAATTAAAACAGAAATTACAATCAGGGTTAAAGCATACAACCCTTCATTTAAACACTATTAAAAGCCAGCAGAATAACACACACACACACACACACACACACACACAATCTCACACGTATGTATGTATGTATGTATGTATGTATGTATGTATAGTGTTTGTGTGTATGCCAGCAATACTTATAGAGCAATAGTTCTTCTGAAAGAGAGTAGATTTCAAAAGGGATAACTATTATTCCTCCCTTGGTCTGTCCTTTCCTTATAAAATGAGACAGCAAGGTGAGCAGAACAGTTTTATTTGCCTTCTATCCTTCCTCCTAGCAGCTTGGAGACCTCATAATATTACAACAATAACTTGGTTGCTTTAGATTTAAAGCACACTTATCCATGACTGAGCATTACACTAAGCTATGTCTGAACCCAAGTGGCTTGCATTTGGCTTACTGAAGTCAGCCACCATGGTATGTAATCCAGAGTTTATTATTTGGTGTGGTTTATTCAGCATACTATAATTAAACGTACAATGGCATGGCATAGTGTGCAAAAGCTGCACCTGAATCCAGTAATGTTCATTCCAAATAAGGGGATGCAGAACCGCCATCTTCAAAATATTTTCCAAAAATTCTGTGACCTTCATAGTGAGGAACTGAGCCCAGACTTCCCATCTTCAAATTCTTTAAATTAACACAGCATTGATTCTGCTAATTATCAATTCCGTGTGTGTGTGTGTGTGTGTGTGTGTGTGTGTGTGTATCATACACATACACACATATGCACACTCACAAAACATGACTATACAAAATTGTTCTATGTATCTTAGATAGTTGATTTCCTGGATAGCTAACTAAGCCATGTAGATTTTAGAAAACAAGTGCATTATGTCCCCAGCTTGCTCTGATCTCTTTTTCTACTTATCAAAAGTGTTGCTAAATCATTCTCATTCTGCACATTTTTCCTCCTGTCTGTTTCTTCCTTATCTCTCCACCCTGACCCTTGTGCAAACAGGTTTCTGTGACATAAATATGCACACAGAAATAGCACTCAAACAGTTTTTGTTTTTAGTAATCTGCAATATGGAATGATAATTCCAAGAGTATTATCCTGAGCAGAAGGGATGCCAATTCAAGTGGTATCATGCAGAGGTGAGCAAGAAGAACCGTCAATAAAAAGTGACAGGAGAAATCAAAATGGTCTGGAGTTGGTGGATTGTTTTTTTTTTTATTACCTTCAGATGGTGTAGGTGACTTGAAAGCCAGATCACACAAAAGGGGCTCTATTCCCCCCTATAATAGAAATATTAAATCATTAAGTCATTCCTACCATCACATTGTGGAAGGCATTGAGGAAAAATCCAGGATTAAAGGCATAATCAAATTCACGTTCAACCAAAATCATTCTTCCGGTATGATTTTGGTTGTGCATGCTGATGGTTGCAGAGAAATTGAGATAATTCTGCGCCAGAAAATTGTTAAGAAGAGTAGAGACACTCATGCAATTCCTACATACATTCTTTTGCAGAGATTGGATTCCAGCTCATGTGGTCATATCTGCTGGAGAATAACATCCGTGCAAAAGCCACATCCCATCAGCACACATACACGCTCATTCAAAAGAACAACTGTGATACAATGGTTCCTGTGTGGGATTAGGATTGGGGATTCTCTGACTGAAACCCAACATCAGCCACAGAAGCTCCTGTACTGTAAATTGGGCAAGACGCTATCTCTCATCCTAACTTAATTCACAAGATTGTTTTGAAGAGAAAAAAAATAGAAATATGTAAATGCTTTCTCCTGATAGAAAAACTGAATAATGAATCTAAGCACAGCAATAGTGGGTGATGAAGATAAGAGTGAATGGTATATTCAATATAGCTATATGGGTGCTTCAAACATCAGAAAAAGAGCGTGTGATGAAGAATACAAAAATGGTAGGGGACAACATCGTTGAACATACTGCTCACTAGAATATTTGATGTATAATTTAATATATCCACTATGCAGGTTTAAGACAGAAAACGATATGCACACACCAGAAAAAGGACTAATATGCTGCCAATTGAAATTTCTTTTGAAGCTTACGGACAGGGTTTTTTTTTCTTTTTTTATCACAAGGAGCTTTCTACCTGGATGTATCTGAAAACCCTAGTTCCATTTAAAAGTGCATTAGAGAAAATCCAGCTTTTTTAATTACCTAGAGTCTAGTTCAGAAAATTGGATTGCTTGAATGCTTGGATGCATTGATCAAAAGATCATCAAACTTAATAGAAACGTGATTAGAACTATTTCTCTGGAAAAAATGCAAACTGGCTCAGAAATAAAGGATTACTTATAATCAAACCAAAACTATAGTCAAATTTATGGTAGGGATGGTCTATTTTTAAGCAGTACCATACGCTGCATTTATACACTCAGATCAGCTAAAGCCCCATGGAATATCAGCAAAGCTGAATTACAATATCAAGGAAACTATAAATAATAAAGAACACAGAAATATTTCACAAATGATTGAAACAGAATTAAGCCCCCCCCCAGACTGCCAGATGAATATACAAAACAAAATGATATGTAAAACTATTGTTCATTTCCTTTTTCATTTGAAAACAGTGGTATAGATGTTTAGAAGTTTAGACATGTTCTGTTTTTATTCATCTGAAATGCTATCCCAGATTTAAAACTCTCTTTGCATTTGCTTGTTATGTAGAAATGCTTCCTTTTTAACACTCTTCCCATTCAATGCCCAATTTTTCTGACCCTTTATCTAACTGCCCATAAAGTTCTCAGCTTCATTTAACCTTATCTATTTAGATTCTTTTAATTGTAAGAGTAAATTAATGGGAAGTTAGCATGCTGCAAAGAGAACAGCAGATTCAGGCATAAGCAATAATTCTAACAATGTATTCTGATCCACATACAGTAGAAGCCAGAGACATTCTTAGAAAACAAAAAAATCACAGGAAATTGCCATTATTTGCTTTGCAGGGAAATGTGCCCATCTACCCAACAAAAAGTAAAAGTAAACACAAGTGGCCAAAAATTGGAGGGGGGGAGGGAAGGGAGATTTAGGAGAGGAATCTCACTAGTTTCATTTCCTTTCCCAAAGAACGCCAGCCATTTAGTGAGAGCGCCCTTAGTGTGCTCCAAATTCCAAAGGTGCCCTTCGGCTCAAAACAACTGTGCACTTCATGCTCTGTGGACAAACAGAACAATCTGATACAGGAAAGTTTTCTGCTACTGCAGAGTGAAGAAGGAACATCTTGTGAAATACCTATCTGGAGGAACTGGTCAAGAAAGGTAAGTAAGGTGTCAATCAAGGTCATTACAGCCTAATGAAGAGAAATACTTACTGTATGCTGGACCTCTTGGGTTTTTTGCAAGTAAGAAGTTTCTAATTGTCCCAAATTCCATAATATTAGCTCACATCATATTGGGTGTTATGAATGTTTCCATAGAACAGGTGGTCTACAACTAGGAAATTAACACTCCCCCCCATACACAAACACAAATTGGCTGTGATCCTAAACAAATGTGACAAGTAATTTCAAGGGGATACCATTACTAAAAATGTAATTATGGGCTCATATCCTTTAAGAGAGTTTGGAATTTTATGACTTGAACCAAATTTCAGCCAGAAACAGCATGGAAATTATACCCAAAGGATTCAGTCTTTGAAAAAAAAAAATAGAATAACTTTCCTTTAAAAAAGAGAGCCCTAAATAGGTTAATCTTTTTTCTAATTTATATTTTACTTCAATTACATTACCGACAAACCCTTAAGCCACATTACTTTCATTATTTCTTTCCCCTTTTCTTTCATCTCCCTGTTTGTATTATCTATTCTGTTTCTTATTTTTCTGTATTGGTTCAAACACCATAGTTTCTATTATACATCATTAATTATACCATAAGTTTCTTCTAATCAGGCAGGATAACTGAACATTATTTAATAATAAAAGTAAACAGTTTTGTTTAGCATACAACTGAATTAAAAACAACATTTTAAAAAACCATTCACCATCATCTTAACTCCCACATTGCATGTATTAAAACATAAACTGTTTAGATGGGGTTATGGGTTTTTTTAGTTTGGTTTCATTTCTAATCTTAATTTCTAGTTCAACATGTTATACAGTCTGAGCCAGTTGTATTTATTTCAATCAATAATTATTACAATTTGAAATAATTATTTCAATCATTTGATCAAGAATAATTAAGAAAAAAATGGAAAGTACAACCTTGAGGGTGGAGCTTCTTGAGATAGCAATATTTGGCAGCATGATGGAGACAGAAGATTATTCAAAGTTGGAAGTTGCTCCCACTCCCACTGGGCTTTTTTGCTCATCTGTGGTCATTCTGTTTCCCTGTTCAGGTAAAGAAATACCTCTCAAACAATGAGCCAATAGGGAACAGCTTTTTTAGCTAAAACTAAATACAGAAAGATTTAGTATCAATAAAAAGAATATGAGTTCTTTATACAAACAAGAGTTAAATTGTGGGATTCACTACAATTATAGACAGCATTTTCAAAACGCCAGCTGCAAGGGAAGAACTATAGTTGTTCTGTAAAAAAAACAACCTATCAATATCAGTTCAATGTTTGTCACCTCCCTGAAGGCACCTGATTGATTCAGCACACAATGCTGAATCAATTAGATGGGCTGTTCACCTGATTCGGCGTGCCCCTTCTTTTCTTATCCTGCTATGTTAGTCCTGTGATCATTATAATAGTTAAAATCCTGTCAACATCCTAACTTTTATGTCCATATTTACCTCCTAAAAGGGGGGGGGGAAGACTCAGTCTTCTGCCAGCAGAGGCTGAATTTAACTAAAAACATCTAGTCCAGCCCTCAACAAACCATAGTTAAACTATGCTTTAGCTTACGTGTGAAATTAAATCTTTAGTTCTCCCTAAAGCTAGTAAGCATACAGCAATACTTGTAGTTTAAAAAAATCCTTTTACAAAACTAGCTTCTGTATTTTGGGGGGCACTTTGCCAGAAGATGTGATTAGGACCATGACTAGCTTTAAACTGAGAAAATAGTTTCCCTTTCTCATGGTTCAAAATCGAGAAGCTGTGAAAGGTTTTTATCCCCTCTCTGATCAGTTGTCAACCACTCTTGCTCTATGAAAAGAAACACATGATTTCTCCAAGCACTGAGGCCTAAACACCACAGTGCCTAAACTGCAATTGTAATACAATTTTCTGTCATCAGAGGAAAATCTCTGCTTAACTGCCCAGCTTCTTAACTGCCTTGTGAATGTGCACTCTAGTACCATATAGAGCATAAAGAATAATAAAAGTGAGATGACCAAATATGTACCACACACACACACAAGGGCAGGAAATTAAACATGGGGGATAACACTACTTGATGGGTGTGGGGGTACAGCACTGCTTGTCCGACCTTTAATAATAGCTCAAAAGGAAAACAAAATCTCACAGGGTTTTTATGGATATCCCCGGAGGGAAAAATTCTCTTCAGGTTGAATCATTCTTAAAGCAGAATTACCAAAATATCCACAAATGTATGCCAGATGCAATGAAAGAGTGTGACCTCAGTCATTTACCTTCCACAGTAAGCTAAAGCAGGATGTTTTGTATAGTGCTTCTTGTTTCTAAAAATCCTGTTGTACTGTTGACAAAATCTAAAGTTTATAGCCCAAAAGATTAAAGTCCATTTAAAAAACAATTTTGTTGGCTTTCTGACATATACAAATTTGATAACCTTCCTTTCTTCTCGTCCCCTCAGTTCTGTCTCTGCAGTCTTCTGTGACATGAAGGCATATAGTATCTGCAGCTTTCTCCCTTGATGAAAGTTTTGTAGCCTTTTTCCTCATGCATGTTGACTTTTCATGCAAATTTACATGAGGCCTTCAAAAAGAAAGCAAATCCTTTGCAAATCTTACAGAAACAGAATATCCTGGTGCTTAAAGAGAATGCAAATCTTATAGAAAGCAAAATAGATGGGATTATCCCTGGATTGCAGAAGCAGACAGGGCCATGTGTGTCTCTCCTACATCCAGAAATCCAACTGTATTAAACTCAAGGTTATGGGAGCACCTGATTCAGAAAATCTCAAAAAGCCCTCTATCCCTCCATGACAGAAAGGAAAAAAAAATCAACAATAGCAAATCACTTTAGAATGTTCTGTATTTATGATATTCAAAATAAGACATAATCGTGTGTAAATTCTTAGGTAACTGGTAACCTGTAGCTGGTAACTTCTTAAAGAACCTATCAAAAAAGATTCATCAACTTTCACTGATCATGGCAACCCAAAGAATACAAAAGGCAGAACCAGTTCTTCACCCAATCCAGAGACTAAAAAGTGAGAGAAGCTGGTTTTGAATAAAGGTACTAGGCTAAAATATATGTTTCTAATCTGTGGATCAGAGTGATGTATGCAGCCAGGCAAGGTGGTTCCTGTATAATTCAGGATGTTGTGAGAACTAAGACAATTATGCCATGGTCAACATATTGTGGGAATACTGCCTACATGTGGTCCAAATAGTGTATGAAAAAGTTAGGGGCACATTTGAGTTTCTGCATTTATATCAAATTATAATGATCCAATTTCCTCTTTTTGTGCATATTTTGATAATGGTTTTGAATGTTAGTTATGGAAAAAATATACACTGCAAATACTTTGATGAATCAATTCATCAATTCATCAAATTTAATTAAATCATCCAATTTGATTCAGACAATAAAAAGGTATACCTGTGTGTGGAGAAGAAGAATTTTCTGAATCAGACAATTTAACCGACTCAACCCAATTCATCTCTCCCAATTAGGATATCAAATCAAATTGATTTCCTGACTTAGAATGACAATGAATCAAGTTGGATCTAATGCATAGAAGAAACTTTACTCATGTGAAGCTATTCTAGTGCTGGCTAGCAAAGCCCCCAATTTTGACCACCCTCATTTTATAAGTACTTTCAATGTCTTTTACTTTCAGTCTTATTTTGGAAAGCACTATACTAAGGCTCTTCTTTCTTTCTGGTTGATGGATATATTTTCCCTTCTGACACAAAAAGAATTTTCCTATTATATTGATGCTGTCAGAATCTATGTGAAGCGGTCTCAAGTTATATAATGAAAAACCTCTCCTCAGCAACAGTAGTTCCAAATGTTCTTTCCAGCTGTGGCAAGCTTATGTTCTGCAGAGATATTACATAATTGTGTTTGATTATAGGCACAGTACAATTTGGTTGTTGCTGGGATGCTGTTTGTTTTGCTTTTAATCGTCTCTTAGGCCAGACAACCAGCTCATACAGCATTAATGCCATTCTAGGAATAGTGTTCTATTCTCAGAGTTCTCAAAGCAGCTCTTATTAAGGCTTGCCTTCACAAAAAAATGTAAATTACAGCAGAAAGCTGCATTTTACATTTATTGGGTGATGGCAAATTCAGTACAACTGATTCTACTCAAAATTCCAAGTGATGCTTTGCAAAGCTGATTGTACAGAAACAGTTCTTTCTATTCAATTTCTATTTCCTTCCATTTGACTTATATTATACAACATGTTTTTTTCCAGGAAAACAATTTTTCAGATTGTTTTCCCCCTTGACTTCTTCTCTTTTTGCCCATCTTTGAGATATAGTAAACTAGAACATAATGATAAAACATTTTAGAATAATGGGGAATAATTGCTTTCTTGACTGGTTGATTAATAACATGGTCACCCATTTATTTACAGGAGTAAATGCAGAAAATAAGAAGTGATTCATATGTGATTGTTCTGTCCATTGTATTCTGTTTAGTTACATGACCCAAAATATTTCTGTGCTTAAACACCTCAAGATGTCTAATTCAGTATATTAAAAATTTGGTTGGCAAGCATAGTTTTAGTTTACAAACAGGGTTTTTAACTGTTTTTGTCCAGTTTAGAGTCATTACTTAGAGTAAATGCTAAAGGCAATTAGTAAAAAAAACATGGCTGCTACCCCAAACTAACATCTAACAGCTGTTTTGTTTTTAAAGTATTCATAGCAGAGAGGTAGGAAAGGGTTCTCTCTATGCTAAGAACTACTGGGGCTAGTTAATTAGAAATGGTTTCTGAAAATTTTGTTTGATTTACTTTATTCTTTAAATAACAACTTAACAAAAACTTAATATTTATTTTCTCAAACAGTACAGAAATCGCTTAGCTTCTTTTAAAATTTATTTATTTTTATTTTATTTTTAAAATTTATAAACCGCCCCACTCCCGCAGGACTCTGGGCGGCTAACAATAAAAACAACATAAAACATGACAAAACAAACAGTACAATAACAGTCATCCAGGGG